CCGAAGTTAGCAATGAGTTAGTAATGAGCACAAGACTTTGTCACTTCAGGATAAAAATGAGGAAAAAAGAATTTGACACTGGGAGGTGGAAAGTCCTTATGAGCAATAATAGCACAGGCAGCCTGGGAGAATACTTGTATCAGGGTTGCTCCAATATGGAAGTCTCCCCCTTTAAATACTTTGGTTTTTTTAATACTGGGTTACGAGTTTGATAATCTTTCTATAGACTGGTGGATTTACTTCTTTAATATCCCTTGAAGCAGATGCTGGTTCTTCAGCTCAGCCCAAGGAGATCTCTTATCCATATGTTGGGATTGGTCCCAGAAAGGACAAAACACAAGGGGAACAGTCAGTGTTCCAAAGTCCTTACTCTCTACCAAAAAAATCCCTTATCCACCAACAAACCACCTTGCCTTAACCTTTATTTTAAAATGAAAATAAAGTTGAAAGCTTTTGTTTGAAATGCACAAATACCTCTTCCCTTTCTAAATCTACTTTCTTGGAAAGCTCCTTTAAACTTTCTAACCAAACCCAGCGTTGTGATTTTAAAGCAGTTTCCTTCAACATAGACTGGCTTCTTCAGGAGTTTTCTGCACTGCAGAGTTGTGTGAGAGAGGGTTTTTCCAGAGGGTGTGAAGGGAAGTGAAAGATATCATTGGTTTCAAAGAAGGAAAATATTTTACTGTATCTGCAGCTCCTTTATGAGACAATTTGCACTTTTAAAAACTGCTTTTTTAACACTAATACTTTAACCCTTTCCAAATATGCATGGAACATGGTTTGTGCAGCACACTTACCTAGTGTGGATGAATTCTGCTCTGTTGATCAGATTTGCTGTTGTATCATGTTGAACTGTTGGTGAAAGATGTGCATTGATCAGTGGATCCCACCGTTCAATAGTGGATAAAACTTCCCTGAAGCAGGCTTAATCCCTCCTAGAGCTTTTGAAAAGGTAACATAAAGATTCTCTTCGGATGGGAAGACAGAGGTGTTGGTGACTTTGCTCGTTGACACTTCTGATATTTTCTAGAATAAGTAGTTGAGATGCAAATAACTGATGCTAACTCTTCTTGTACTGGCAATCTAAGAAAAGAGCTAGTGATCTTGGTTTACTTTTAAGTTGAACCAAAACCTGGTCCAAGGTAAGTGTCATTAGAAGATTATAGATATAAACTAGCAATGGCAGGGGAAGGAGTGTTTGCTGTATTTTTATTTTTAAGGGTTAACTTTGCACCAGTGTGCCTTCCCTTCCTGTCGGGGGTGCTTGGGACCTCAATTTCAAGTGACATCCTTCGGTGTCACTAGTTTTCTCTCCCCCTTACAAACACTTGACAGAAATAACAGGGTAGTAGGATTCAGCTTTTCTTTCTTCCCTGTTTAGGTTGTGGTGAAATCTGCTCTGTTTTCTGGTAGATTTTGCACACAGGCTTTGTTTGGAATAAGTCAAAATACAATCCATCCAGTTGTGATTTCTTAATTGGAGGAAAAGAACATCTGCTGTTTGCATTGTTACTACCAAAAAGGCAATCCAGCTAAATGTCCAGGAAAATGCAGATGTGCTCTTTCCTCCACTGTTTCTGGAAGCTAAGGTGGATATTGCCCTGCTTGACCAGAGGGTTTGTTCAGGAAGGTATCTGGATTTGATGACAGGGCCTTTTCATGGTACTGTTGGAGTAAAATTAAGTGTGATTCAAGGAAAACTGGCTTATAATGCCCATTGGTGTCCATGTGTGAACAGGATCCAAGCAGCCCTGGCTTTTGGCCTTGGTCCCTGTCCACATAACGCAGTCGGACCGTCGGGAATGCGGTGTCACTGTAACAAGGTTGGAACAGTTCAATGGAAATGAAAATACGGTTTTGATGTGCACAGGTGCATGGGAAGGGCTGGGCTCTGCCCTCATGCCCTGTAACAAGTCTGTAAATGCACTTGGGCTGTCCATTTGCTGCAACTTCAGAGCAATAAAATGTGTCTCCCCTGAACTGAACCCAGCCGGCCGCCCATGGCTTTATTTATAAACTGCGGTTTTGGTTGGGCAGGCAAGGTGAGAATGTCACTGTGCAACATCCACTGCCTTCCAAAAACCACCATTCGATTGAAAAGGGTGCTCAAAATTTTGTTATACACATTTCCTTTGTGTAAATAAATGTTTACAATTTTATATTAAAGATTTGAATAAGAGTTAGATCTTCTGACTGTATATTTTTTACTTTTTATAGATTTTAAAACTATAATTCTTTATATATGTGTTTTGGGGGGTATTATGGTAAGTTTTATGCTTGTAAATGGAGAACAGTTGAATTTGATGCTAACCTTTATGAATTTTTGTCATTGAAATGTATAAAGAGTCCATTAATCCCCTTATTCTTTTACTACAATTACTGGTGCACACCAAAAAGAAATCCTTCACTTCTGTTTTATCATTATAAAATAAATATTTTGCTAGTGTATTAAACATACATGGTGTGACTTTATACATTTGTGTGAGCTGAGCAGAATTCAGCATTGTCATTCCTAGTGAGATGATTCCTTCCCTTCGTCCCAACACACAGTTTTGCTCAGCTCAAATTCTGCTGCTGTGTCTTACCAATTCTTACAGTTTCAGAAAGTCCATTTAAACAGGCCAGAACTGGATAAAGGGGCCTTAGAAAACTTTACTTTGAAAATAAGGCTTTATGCTGCACCCACTGCTTCCGGGCTGTTTTTTTTTTCCTGGAATGCAGTTGTAGACCTTAAGCTGGGAAATTCGGCTGCAGAGGTGGTTGTTACTAGTGAAAAAGATGTTAATAACTACTGAGACCTCACATGTGCAAAATGGTAGAGTTCCAAAAATATACCAATTCCCTCAAAATAACAGGCCTTCGAGGTTCAAACTGGTTTCCTCAGGCCTTGTTTGATGTAGGCAGATGGCACACACAGAAATCCAGCTGAGACAGGGGCAACGTTCTGCAGGCATGAGTTGATGTTTCTGAACAAGGAATGAAATACTGGCAGAAATGTGTGTGAAGATTTTGGCTTGAAGCTGGAAAAGTCCCTGAGCCACTGCACGGCTTCAGAATTGAAGGATCATTCTCCAGGTGTTGAAGTTGGTGTCTTACTGTGCAGGTGTTGTGTTTGCAGCTCCAGCTCGGAGCCTTCAGGTTTCTTCACAGCACCCTGACTTATCAGAGTGTATTTTTTAATATATTCCTACTCCACAAAGTTTTGTGTTATGTTTGGAGGGAGGAGGAGACCTGTAACTTCATAAGCCTATAAAGAACCAAATGTCGTAATAAGTAACAGTACCAGGATCAGCTGATTTTAACCTGTGGGGAACTGTGAAGTTACTGCTTAATTAACTTTATTGTCCCATTAAAAATGCTGCATTTCAGTTATTGTTGAGTAAACCAGGAATGTCCCAAGCAATCCCCACTGAAGTGACGTGTGTGTTTTTCCAAAGATTTTAAGGAGTCAGTGGCAGCTTGTGACCAACTCAGAAACCAATTTGATGTTTTTTCCTTGATGCTGATGTTTTTCCTGAGACTAATGTAATAATTCTGTAATGGAAGTGTTTTCTCAAGCCTGAATTGCTTGTTGAAATGGCATAAGCAGAAACAGAACTCCTGGTGACATTTCCCCTCTGAACTTATCCTGGACATCCCAGGTAAAATCTTGGGTCGCCAACAGGTTCAGTTAAGGTTAATTGTTTTATTTCTATTTCAGTCTGAGTCTGGTAGTCTGAAGTCACATCATATGAGTGTTTTATAGACAAAGGGAGTGGTTTTGCTTTTTTACATGTGTGGTTATTCACAAAAAGTGTAACATTGGATATTTGAATTCATTAACAAGTTTTCAACTTGATGAGCTGTCACAATGGGGTTTTGAGGCGATGAAGAGCCAAACCAGAACAAAAAACTTGCTTTGTCCCACCCAAGAGAAATGATAGGTCTGGTATGTGCATAAATTCTGCACTGAGGGTTTGTGTATGTGACTGAACAGAGAAAAATGCCATGTCCTGTGCCCTCTCTTCACCAAAATGAACAGAAAGCCTTAGTTGATAATGAATGATACCCTTTTTTCTCCCTTTTGATTTTACAAGTTTTAAAGTCAAAGTAGTCATCCATATGAAATTGCTCCAAAACACCAAGATAATGTTTTGAACTGATACATATTTTACTTTTGTGGAGTGGGGAAAGAAGTTACTCAGGGCTAAAATATTGCTGGTTTTCACATTTTATGTTTTATAATTCTGATGTCAATGTAACATTTTTGAGGGTCTGTTTCTACATCCTCTGCTGCCTTCCATTTGGAACTGAGAATTTTTATTTTGTATGATAGCCAGGAAAAGATTTGTACTGCAGAATCTTAAAAACATCAGAAAACTGCAAAAGGTGAGTGAGTGCTAGAAAAGAACTTTATTCTCATTTGGTAACCTTAGAGCAGTAATTAGTAGGGTAAAATACCTGAATGCTCTTTTCAAAGTTACAGAACCCAGTAGCAGAATTAACCTTTTCCAGCTGGAGTGCAGCAAATCTTGAATGTGGTCAACTCCACTGCTTGGAATAAAACAGAAGGTCAAGTCATTAATTTTCAAATGCTTGTTAATAATTTTTACAACCTCTCACATAATTGAGGTGCTTCAGAGCTCATTAAAACCAGCAAAAAAAGGGCTGGAAAGAATTCCATCATCTTTCCATTGCTGGCAACATATAATTCAATCGTCATGTAAAATCTGTAAATATAATTACAAGAATTTCACTGTTTGCCCATGGAAAGCTTTTTGCTGTTCAATCATTCAGCAAAAGGCACTTGGCTGGAATAGACATTTTCTGGTGGCTGCCTGCTTTGGAAAACCCTGTGGTGTGGAGAGAGTTAAGGTGAGTTGAGGTGTGGTGGAGGAAACGCCTGTGTTCGGGGGAATAACTCAGTTCTGTTGAAGTGTGTGGTATTGGGAGGGTGGGAGAGAGGTTTGGGGTGCAGCTGTACCCATCACACCTGTCTGGGGTTTGCTCCAGTCAGCACCATGAGGGACCAGATAGACCAGCTGGCCACCATCACCGTTTTGGGAGTCCTGGAGCAAGGTAAATGCCCTTTATACAATGCTCAGTAGTGTTGAGCTGATTACATTAAATTTTGTGAAATGTGGTTCCTGTATTTTTCTTGGAGTCTCTATGGAGCGAAAGCTGCTGTTTTCCAACATGGTAAAATGATACAAATGTTTGGCCATTCATGGCAGAAGTGTCATGCCTGAGGGTGGTCGTTATTTAACAGGGACTAGAATGATCTGCAAACCTCAAAGCCAGCAAGTAAAACTGTTAGGCTCAAAACTAATGTTCTTAAAGTAAAATAGTTTGTGCTTGAATTTTGGCAGGCAGTGTATAACTTGGAGTGGCTGGAGGTAGCCAAAATGAAGGCAGGTCAATAAGTGTGCTGATGAAGAGGTTGGTGTACAGACGTGGTGTGTACAGAGAAAAGAGCCTCATGCACACAGGTATTTCTCCACTGTGACCAATATCATCCTGTGTCCTTACAGCTTAACTGCACAGAGCAGATGACAAGATGAACTGACAGCACAGTAATTTGGAAACTAATGCAAGCTCTTCTGGTCAGAAATAGACACAGACATCTTCAGAGGAACCCACTGACTTCTTGTAGCATAAATAGATGCGTTTAGACCTTTTAGAAAGAGCAGTGGTGTTGCCAAGCTCTGTTTAATTGTGGGTCCTTTGGCCAAAGTCTCTCCCCCTTAGGCTTCAGGAGGGTCATGGAAGGGGACACGCCCCTCCCTGGGGTGGGGACAGAGCCCCCATTATATTGAAATCTTCAGATTTCTCTAAGGGAAGATTTGTGGGTTTTATTATTACTGAATTAATTTACCATAGAGCTATCACACCTCTGCTTACAAATAGATGTGAATATCTGAGCAGCCTCATGTATTTTTAGCCATCAGATGATAAATCTCTTAGTATAAGTATTATTTAAAACACAAATATGCCACTTGAAGAATAGACCTCAAGATTTCTGACTTATTAGTAATTTCCGCTCAAACAATTTAAAGGGAAGTGTCTGCAACTACAAATGGAAGATGCTTCTGTATTATGAATTTTTTTGTTATTAAACTAAGTGGAGGTGAGGGAGCATTTAGTATGCAAAGAGAAGACATGAAGAAAATTTCAAATTGAGTTACAGAAATGCTGCTAAGCCCTTTTCCTTTGGGAACCCCTCAGTAGCAAATCCCTAGATAGCAGTTTTGTCTCAAATAGATCTCTTTTATGGGAACTTCAGGTACTTTTTTTTAAAGGTTGAAGCCTTAGGCATTTTGCTTTCATGCTATGCAAACCATACCCAGGTGTGAAGCCAGCAGATAAACAGCAAGCATTGCCACCCTCCTATCTGTGTTAGATTGGATAAAGTATCCTGGTTTTATGGTCCCTGCATGGGAAGCCAAGGTGAGCAATGGCAAAATACTACGTTTTCTGTCTAATGGTATGAAATACATGTTGCTCGTGTCACTGTGAGCCAGAGCTGTGCAGTGGCTTTCCTTGCGTGTTTTGAGGGGACATTCTGTAGGTGAGTTACAGGTCTGGGATTCATTCTGAGCAGGTGAGCACTGAAGCACAGAAATGGGCCGTACCTACGAATATCCTCCTTCACATCCTGGTGTAGGAGATGCAGTTTAATGGCTGAGCTTAGTGACAGCATTGGTTGATTGTTATTTTTGCTTTTGAATTTTCTGGGAGCCCGCAGTTTCATGCTCAGTTTAGTGAAGCTCTGAGCTTAGTGCCCCACAGATATGTGCCCCAGCCCTGTGGTGAACACAGTACCACGCAGCAGAATTATTCTACACCAGGTTTTCCCCCCTCCTTTATTTTACTTCAAAGGAAAGGAAGCTTATGCAATGTCACTGTCTGTCAGGTCCCACAGGGCTTGTTTGCCATGTTCACTCAAATGTGGCAGATAACAGCTATGATATGCTTTGACAAGTGTGTGGACATAATCAAATAGAGAATGAAGAATATTTCCACCAAGGAGCAAAGTTCAGGGACAGCTCAGTCCCTGTAAGCCACGTGGGAATCCACACAGGTGATTAAGCTCGAGACATGAATCACAAAAATAAATTATTTGAAAGGCTCTACAGAGTAAGTTGAACTCTTTTTCTCTGAAAGTCTATGCTGAGAAGGCTCGTACAGTGTGGGTTTTATGAACACATCATTCTGAGAAGTGCTTTTGGGGACTGATTCTTCCCAAAAAAGAAGAATCTCCCCTCCTTGCTCTCTCAGCACCTCTCATTTAGGGCTGGATCACTGTGGAAGACATTAGAACATGCTTAATTGTTCTAAAGTGGGTTCTTCAAGGAATGTCTGTGTATTTAAATTACTAAAATATTGTGATACGTGTCATCACATAGCATCAGATTATTTACATTTCCAATTCCCTTCTACATATGTTCTAATGCTTTTCTGCAGGCATACATCATGTCTTTAATCTTGGAACATCTGTCCCTACTTCCCCTTCTCTATCCTGCTGTTCTGCCTTTATCTCTGTTACAATAAGACAGTCCACAAGGCAGGCCTTGCACCCTGGCTCCTTGTCTCTGTGTGATGCCCTGGAAATATTGCTGTGTGAGTTGCTATCTGCTCATCCAAGTGTCTCAGTGACACCGCCACAGCCAGTGGAGTAATTGTTTTTATAATTTAGTTTTCTCCTATATGAAATTAGGAGTTTTCAATACAATCAACAGTGTAGTGGTGCACCTAAATAAAAACACTTGAAGCATCAGCAATCACCTACGGGAGTAAGAACTTCCAATAAATAATGGAACAGTCCAAATCTTCATGTTTCCATTGTTTTAAAGTGACTTTCCATGTTCTTTATAAATGTACAAAGAACTGGTGTAGCAGACACCAAGTCAGTGCCTCAGCCCAAGCCTGGCACAGCCTCACAGCAGGTATTGGCAGCACCTCTGCTCCTTGAACCACTGGAGCCTTGGGGCTCCCCTGCAGGAATGAAGGGGAAAAAATAATCACCCCCTTCCCCATTTCCTTTTGTTGCCATGATTATGGACATTTCTAATTGACTTAATGATATCCCAGTGCTCGACAGCTTGGATGCTGCTCTGTGGCGTGGACCATCCTTGCATAAAAGCTTTGCACCCATTAGGAATAGTGGAAAATGTTATGCATCATTCCCATCAGACTGGTGGAGGGTGTATGGATACTCTAAACACAAAATGCAAGATTAAGAAATAATTCTGTGATGGGAATGGACTTGGGAAGGTTTTATTGTTCTTTGCAGGACCTGGTGTGTTTGTTCTGCTGAGGAGCAGCACCAAGGGTGTGGGCTAATGCAAAGTGCCATCCAGCCCCAGTGCTGTGCCAGGACAACCCAGCCTGAATTTAAAGTGCAAGCATGAAATAAATGCACATTTATACCAGGTCATGTGTGACAGCCCTGGACGTTGGACCCAGACCGTATCGGCTCTTTTATTCTAACCACTTGCTTGATTCCAGGCTAGATAAAGCTTTGCTAAACAAACACTGCTGGACTGTTACCATTCCCATGTTGTTCTGTTTTTAGCCTATTTTGCACTGCAGGTGATCTATGCCCGTCGGAAGTACAAGATCTCCCCTCCTGAAACAACAGGTCACCCTGAGTTTGAGCGGATCTTCAGAGCTCAGTAAGATTTTGTCTTCGTTGTGATGACTTTGTCTAGATATGACTTGAGTCAACTGTCTCTGTCAGGAGAGACTGGCCACTCTCAAGTCTCCTTTTCACTTATTGCTACTGATATTAGATTTTTTTTTCAGTGCTCTGTGTGCAGAGGTCTGAGTTCTGATTTGGAGCCCTTTGGCTGGGGTGTTTCTGTCCATCCATGATAATCCTCCTTCTGGCACCATGAGGCAGCAAAATTACAAATTAGTGGCCATGTGAAAGAGGTGTGGAGCATTAATGCTTAGAATCATTAAATTTAATACTACCATAGGCTCCAAATCGTGAGAGCAGCCGAAGATATATTAATAACCTGACATTTGCCTGTAAGTTTTTGCTGTTGAATTGAAGCAAAGGGCCTTGCTGGAAGAACCAGCTACGAGGGTGTTTTAATTTTTTCCCTCTCAGAAGCCATTGTACTGTGAGAGTCAGCACTGGTGGGCCCATGCTGAGGGCTGTTTCTTTTTGCTCTGTTCCTATGGAGAGAGCAATGCTGGAGCTAAACTGGAAGCGTTCACAGATCCCCTCAGTTTCCAGCAAGCACCAGATTCCATCTTTCATCTCAGTCGTTCTGTTTTGTAAGCGATTGAAAAGAATTGGCCGGAGCTGGTTTGAGGGGTAGTTCCAGCACGGCACTAAATGCTGAACAAAGCAGCCTGCATTCCCTTGCCAGTGTGCAGGAAACATTTGTGGAGTGACAAAAACACCCCCTTCAGTCCTTCTGTGGTGCCATGGAAGGCCAGCCTGCATGGAGGCATCAGCCTCACTCTGCTGATGTGGCTTTTAATTAAATACTTTCTATTAAATGTGCATTAACAAAGCTGTGCCATGGGCTGTAGTGTGCTGGGAAGCCCTCTGCTATGACCTGCAGAGAAGGTGACCTCAGGGAACTCAGACTTGAAAAAAGGTATTGCCTCTTTGTGGGTTTTTCCCCTAATTTTCCCTGTGGAAAAGCATTCAAATGGATAATTTGATATGTACATATATTAAAAAAAAAGGAAAAATGGTATTGATGTATTACTCACTTGAGGAAACCTGGCAGCCTCCTCTCACTGAGGCTCAAACTCCATTTGCAGCATAAGGTTCTTCAGACTTTTTCCAGCTCCCAGTTTGGCTCTATTCCCCAGGGGTTGGTAAATTCTTGGCCAAAATTAAGATTAAATTGCCTAGGAAATGGTAAAGTGTAGGAGAAACTGAGAACCAAAACGAATGTCTTTAATAGCACAGCTCCTACTGTCCTTTCTTGCAGAAAATCTCTATGTTTGTCACTAAGGGAAAAAGGAAGAAGAAAACCTGATCTGATCACCTTCTGCTGAATTTTATCTGGGAGAAAACTTTCTTGGACTGTGACTTGTGTGACAGGCAAATTTGAGTGTCCAAGGGGAAGAGAAATCTCCTTCAATACTGACAAGGAGCCTCTCCCCCAGCAGCTGTAGGTGCAGTAGCTCTCTGGCAGTGCTGTTTGTGGGGCAGGATAGAGCCTGTTGAGGGTCCAGCAGAGACAAATCTCCACCTCGGCCATGACTCATCATTCCAGGGTTTGGGTTTGCTCTGATGTGTGTTTCCAGCTCCCTTCTCTGGCCTTGGTTAACCAGGCTCTGACATATGAGGCAGCTTTAACTCTCATCTCTTGTTCTCACCAGGGCAAACTGCTCAGAGTACTTCCCAATCTTCATTTCGCTCCTCTGGATTGCTGGAGTCTTCTTCCATCAAAGTAAGAAGGATGGGGGAAAACCCCAAGCCATGTGCACAAACCAAAAAAAGCCCCCCGATTTAAATCCCACTGCAACTCAGACACTTTCTCTCTGTACCTGTGAGGCTGCTACTTGGGGAAAGCAAAGTTCCCCTTTTGCCAGATGGACCAAGGAGCACCTCAACTCCAGCATCCATGAAGCTGCTGGGAGCAGCTGAGCCTCCCTCCTGCCTGGAGGAGCAGGCACTGGCAGCCCTTGCTCCTTTGGCAGAGCCTGGCTGTCCCACTGTGCTGCTTCTCTTAGACAAGGTCAGGCTGTCCCAGAGTGCCAGGGGGGCAGCAATCTGAGGCAAAGTTGCCACATGATACCCAAATTGCTATGTCAGAACAAGAAACCATAACTCAAACAGTTACTCATCCACTGCCTATGCTGCACCAAGTGAGTTCAGGGGCTTGGTTGCTGCCAGAGGGAAGTTGTAAGGAAAGACCATGGAAGGGAGTGTTGCCAACCCAACTCCCAGGGCAACTCTGGGGGGCAGAGAAGTTCATCCCTCACAAGAAGGGAAGGAAGAAAACCCATTTAAACTCCTGCAGTGGTTCAAAGCTTAGTCCCTCTGCATTTGGTTCTTGGCCCCCATCTGTGGGGAGAAGCAGGGTCGTGGGTGCCTGTGCTAGAAGGCAACCCCAGCAGTGTCCAGGGACCCCTGGCCCTGTCAGAACTCGACTCCCCTCTCCCCCACAGATGTGACTGTGGCATGTGGGCTGCTGTACCTCTACACCCGCCTCAAGTACTTCCAGGGCTACGCCGGGGCTGCGCAGGGACGGTGAGTACCCGGCCCTGGGTGTCAGCACCCCACACCAGCCCAGGGAGGCTGGGGCAGGATGTGGCCCCTGCAGCAGGTTTCCTTCCCACGGGTGGGACTGAAGGCAGATTTGCATCACCTCCTTCTCCTCCCCTCCTGCCCCCTGTGCTCGTGGCTGTGTCACCTCTTCCCTGACTGTCTCAAAGGAGGGGGGGGATGCCAAGCCCGGCGGTGTCTGACCTGGGTGTTTTCTCCTGCCCAGCTTGGGACCAATGTATGCCAGTTCCTTGCTGCTCTGGCTGCTGCTGGGGCTGGCAATGGCCGGGCTCCTGGCACACTTCCTGCAGCAACACAGTGCCCAGTGAGAGGGGCCATGGCTCTCCCAAAACCAGTCAGCTGGCACAGAGACTGAGTACCTCCCTGGCTCGGTGTTCCCCTCTGAAGGGAGGTTGATGCTGGCACTCCTCTGCTCTTCAGAGATCATAGGAAGAAAATGCTGCCCAGCCCCTGCTTCACTGCTGGGTTTTGTAGCACTGTCTGCTCTCAAATGCCTTTGGCTCTGCCTCGCGGAGCACAGATTGACCCACATGCTGTTGTCTCTCCTCCTTACTGCTGTAATGATCTGTGTTGGAAGGATCACATCATGGATGTGCAAAAATAAATTCCTTTTCTCAGTAGAGATCACCTGTGATTGTCAAACGTGCTTGAGAACTGGTGCGAGAACATCTGAGGGCTGGGGACTGGGTTTCATAGGAAAAGCTGCTGTGATTAAAACTAATTGGAAAGGATGGGTAAACTTGTCTAAAACCATATCCAAATATTGGCAGAAAAGCCTGACTCTAGTGCTAAAGTCTGTTCTTGGCATTGACTTAATGACCTTGGCTTGGCCCTGGCTTCATTTATCACCTACCCCCCAGTAGGACTTTGTCCTCTCTGGATTTCACCTTCTACTGCGAACTTGGGGTTGACAGGTGACTAAAGCAGCCCTGCTGCAAGTGACTTTCACTGCTGCACCAAAGGTTTAAATTTAGCTTTTATTACAGTGCACATTATTTTATATATTTATATAGAGAGATGTACTTGAAAAATCAAATGTATCCAATAATAAAAAATACAGCACATTAAAGTAGTATAATGCATTCCAGTGTATAGCTGAAAGGACATTGGGATTTACACTAATCCCTACTATTTTTGAACTGGGCTACTTCTGCTTGTTTTTTTTTTCCCCAAAAAAACCTCACATCAACAAATAACTGAAATAGTTATTTAAAAAAGATGGTTTCTGCACTCAATCTCAAGGCATGAAGACACTGGAGACTTCACCGTGAGTTAAGGGGCTGTGATCAATGCTGGCAGGCACAGTGTGGCGTATTTTATTTTTTTGTTTTCCCTGCCATACTCATAGCTCCAACCCCTTCGGATTCATTCCTCCTCTGCTGAAGGAGGGTCAGTCTTTGACCTCGCTTAATCCTCAGCTGTGGCCAGGACTGTTGCCTGGGCGAGGGCAGGGCAGACCTCGGTCCCTGGCCGCCTCCATCCCAGCGGGGTCAGCCGGCAGGACTCACCCTGACCAAGCCCCGCTCTGTCCCCAAATACAGCCAGAGATTGCCCTGTCCTGGGCTGAAGGTGCTTTTTGTCCCCATGCTCACTAAAGCTCATCCCGACCCCAAACTGTCCCCTGTGTCCGTGTGTCCCGAGCGGCAGCCAGCATCCCGAGGGGCCGAGGGAGCGGAGCAAAGCCAGCCCTTTGCATGGGGTGTTGGGTTTTGCTTTTTGTTCCTCTTCTGGAGAAGATGACGGGGCGTCCTGGCCCCACAGCACCGCTAGGGATGGTGGTGCCAGCCCAGCAGCAGCTTTGCTGCGGTCTGTCGGCGTGTGCCGCCTCCGGCAGCCGGCCCTGCGCTGTCCTGGTCCGGGCAAGGCGCCGCGGGGAGGAGGGAGCAGGAGGGAGGGAGCAGGACCAGGGATCCACGAGTGTGTCCATTCTGCCTCATGCCCGTTTCACTCTGCTTTTTTGATAAAAATCTGAAAGAAGAGAGGGACGGGATCAGAGCGACGTGTGGGGCTGCGGTGGGGATCTGCTGAGGGAGCCCGGCTTACCTCGCTCAGGATGATCCACACCGGGGAGTCGCTCTGGATGGACAGCCTGATGGCCTCCAGCGGCCCGAAGGACGGGTCCACCTCACCCTCTGCAACGCCCTTGGAGAACGAGCCTGGTGGGGACAGCACATGGGTGATGCAGGGACAGTCCCCTGGTGTCGACCCTCCACCTTCCCCCTCCCTGAGGGCACCACGAGCCACCATGGCAGCCCCTGCCCACAGCTCCCCAACGTGAGGTGGGCTGAAAACCAGCAGTGTGGATGGCAAACAGTGCAAAATGCCACACTTTGGGGAACAAAAATCAGCTGAACAAAAAAGGGGAGTATTTGGCTACTTATCGGTGCTGTGTGAAAGTGGACAGAGTGGCCTGACACCCTTTCACCCTTTTTGGGTGTGATTTTTTTTTTTTTGAAAATGCAACTAGGATAAACCAGCCAGCATGCAGACAAATGCCTAAGTGGCAAAGTGCTACACATCCCAGGGAATTTTTCTTTTATTTATCAATTTGAAAAAAAAAGACATCTTAGGAGGGACACCAGGGCTGCACCCCACACCAGCAGGTCCCCATAGGTAGCAATCACTCATTCTTGTCCAAGGACAGGACAAGCACTAAAACAAGTTTAGGTGGCAAGAGACAAAGTCTGACCTGCAAATGGTGTGAGTATTGAGACCACAAAATCACCCACGGTGGAGGATTTTAACCCCAGGTTAAGCAACTGGATAATCTGCATAATTTGGTCCCAGATCTGAGCAGAGACAGGCAGAAATGCAAGACCAAAAACTACCTGAAGAGGACAACCTGGTCTTAGAGGGAGGGCAGTGGAGCAAAGGAGACAATGATAATTAAATCCTGTTCCAACCTGGCTCCTGGCAAGCAAAAATGACTCTTTGCCAAGCAAACAGCACTAAGGGTCTTGATTCACATGCAGGTGAGGATGTGTTATCAAACCCAGCAGACACTTTGCCACCCCGTGCCCCGCTGTACCTATCTGGATGTAGCCATCCAGTGTCCTGCGGTATTTGACGACTGCGCCTCTTCCCTCCTGCAAAGCTTCCTTATCCGACTGCAGGCTCTGCAGAAAGAGAAGAGTGTTGTGCCAGGCCAGTGGCAAGAGCCACCCAAAAGCCCCAAGGAACAGCAGCAACCCCAGAGCTGCCCATGCCAGCAGGCCCTGGCACCTCATTCCCTGCCTGGCACCCTGAGCCTCATGCCCCAAAACAAGAGGACATTTGCTGTCCTCAGGCTGCTGCTTCCACTGCACCATCCTGGCTCCATCCCCTCCTCTGTGGCCATCCCACCCATTTGAGCATCCCCTCTGCAGGCAGGAACAGCTTCCACAGTGATGCTCAGCTGCACTCCTGAGGTGGCATCACACCAGGTGTGACCCTCTGGCTCTCAGCCAGCACCTCTCAGAGACACTTGAGTCTTGTTAAGATTTTCCTGGTGGCTTAAAGCATTTCCCTTCTCTCAAACCCCTTTTGCTTTGCACTCCACCCTCACCTCAAGTTCTCAATAAAACACTCACATCAAACGGCAGAACCTCCACGGTCGTGTTGAAAAGTTTGTCTTCTGGATGCTCGATGTTCCCGCTGCGGAAGAAGAACCTGTGACAGAGACCAAAGCCATGGAAACCCACACTGAGCGAGGGGGGACACGATGGCTTTCACCCCAGCTGAATCATCAGACAGCTCAACCTACCAGGCACCTTCCCAAAAAGCCCATGGCATATGGTTTGGAAGGAGACCTGTGCCAGACTACCTAACTCACAGACTGCTCACAAGTGCAGGAAAGCAAAGAGGGCTCTGGCAGACATGGTCCCACTGGAAAAGGGTCAAATCAGCAAGGTCAAATTATCCCCTCCCCCTGCAGGAGCACTGCTCCCTCCTCCTGGGCACCCAAGCAGGAGATGGGCAAGAAATTTAATGTAAATTGCCAGAAGAGCAAAATGCAAGTGTCTCTGCATGCTCCAGGCTGTCCCCACGCCCCCCTGCTGACCCCACCCGAGCACTGGCCTTTCGATCCGGAGCGGTTTGAAGAAGCGGAATCTGATGAAGTCTCCGGCAGTGGGAGTGAAGGCCCAGAAGAAATCCTCCCGCTGGTAAGCCTTCTCCAAGGTGAAGTGCTGGTAGGTTTTCAGGCTGGTGCTCACCTCGGCAGGAGGGTTGACGTGCTCTTTCCGCAGCGCCTGCTTTCCAAAGTCCTTGTCCTTGGGGGGCACAAAGCAAAAGGGCAGAGAGGAGCCATGAGCTGCTCTTGCCCGTGAGGAACTGAGGTCCCAGCAACAAGGCACTGCAAATTAAAAGCTCTCCATTTGCACAGCACAGAAGGATGAGGGATGGAAGCGATCTGGGGAAGGCACCAGGCAGGGGAATGCATGACTGGATCCCAGGACAGAGTTTCAGGAGAGACAGCACAGAGAAACACTTCTGCTCTGCACTCTGATCCAGCACCAAAGAGCCTTTCATTGTCCAAGTGTCCCTGAACGCATGTCCCTTCCCCAGGAGCTCTGGAAACAGTCCTTACACCTGAGGAGAAGGCAGCTGGGAGAGGGACAATAGCATAAAAATGACTGGATTATACAGCCTGATGGGCACTGAACCATGATACAAACTGGATTACACCACCCATTTCCCTGGGAATCACACAGACATGGGATGAGCACAGCCCAGGGATATGTGTCTATGGGTCCTGCACATGTAATTGTGGGGAAGCTTGATTTTGTTGATGTTTAAACACACATCAACAATTTAAGCTCTTACACAGAGAGCTCTAATTCACCTATCACCAAATCCCAGGAACATGGAGTGGGGTGGAAAGGAAGTCAGACCAATCCAGGAGTCATCTCTCCAGGGCTTTTCAGTAGATGCTTCGAAGTCACTTGCCCGGTTTGGCACTTAGGGTGGGTGGCCAGGACCGGTACCAAGGCTTAAGAACTTGCAGTGACTCTTGGTGCATGCCACTGCCATTCTGAGGAGCAGGAGCTATCTGAGCTCACTGTAACTCAGAATAAAACACAATCACTGCACAGAAATCCAGCTGCCACCGTCCCACCAGCTGCTGTCACTGATGTCCCCACCCAAAGGCAGCCAGTTCCCAGGTGCCTGCAGGACAGGCCACCTGCAGCTTGGACAGGCAGCTGGTACCCACCTTCAGCTTCTGTATCTTCCCAGCCAAGGAGGAGTGGGTTCCCACGTGCTGGAAGAGCGAGGGCTTGAAGCGGATCCTCAGGTTTGCCTTCTGCCTGTCGCAGTGTTTCTGAAATGAGACAATCCTGCTGTGCCCCAGGCTCAAACCTCTGTGGGCAACTGTGGCCCACGAGAGGGCTGGACAAGGGCACGAGGAGTGACAGACAGCCCTGCCTCTCCATCTCTATGCCCTTCTGCGTTATTTAGGCTCTAATAAGGCAAGAGGGCTTTTGGCCACACTCTGGAGAAACTGAGTGACTCTCAGCCACTTGCCCACAGGGCTCTGCTGGGCAGCCAGAGTATCCAAGCCCAAGTGCCAAATTTCTCCTTGCCAAGCATAGTTTAGAATGCTGAGCAA